AAGAACGAAAATAGCCAATAACGTGAAAAACATTAAAACTAATAAAATCAAATTCTTGACCTCCACCTTATACTTAGAATACATCAATTCAATATCAGCTATAAGCTGATAACATATTTCTGTGTCTATATAAGTCCAGTTATGTATAAACTAGTAAATAAGCAGAATAACATTCTTGTCAGTAAGAAAGAAATGAAGTTTACAATTAAACAATGAAGACGTTTGTCATTAATAAGTGAATTATAAACTCAGGTCAACAGAAACAAAATGAGATATGTCGCTGAGTCATTAATTTGCGCAGAGTGAAATAAAAATGAGAGGAAGATAATATGACCCATTCAACTGATGAACGACAGATATAGTAACGCATTATCAAAATTTTTTTACTGTTACATAATTTAACATTAAGGTCCTACAATGCTTAAAACTAGCTGATTTTTTTTATTATTTCTAAATATCGTTCGTTGGTACTTTATGAATTTTACCATAAACTGACTGGCAGAATAAATTCGTGGGAAGTTATTGTAACTATTGCTAAATTGAAGATTTATTATTTAATGACTAGTAATATCATCTAGAATAAGAACACTGTCTTTGTTACGTTTGAGTATCATCAATCCAGAAATACATAAACTGTAGACTCATAATTTGATCCATTCACAATTAAACGATTTTTCCGGTATGATTTGACGTGAAAGCGTAAGTTTATAAATCAATATATGAAGTAATTTTAATCAGGTTCATCACTCTAGATAAGAAAAGGCATTTCAGCACTATGATTGTCAGCTATGATTAAAATGAAGGTGAATTGTGTCGTATTATGTCATTAGATGTTTAACATAGAACCTGTGCAGAAATGAAGCAGCATACAACAATCTTTTACACTTATCATTGACCTCATCACATAAAGAGGTAGCAAACGTGTTGTTATCTTCATCTGATATCCTTCACGTTATACTTTAACACAAAAAAGATTCATAACATATTATCACAATTTAACCAGATCACGTTTATCAAATATCATTGGCATGCAAACCTAGTCGATTACGCTCATCGAAACGGTTTTGGTTCTCCAGTATTTTAATAGGTAATGTAAATTTCATAAATATGTATACATGTGCTTAAACAGTTCATAATACATAGTACAATCCTTTAAGAGTTAGCAGAAACTAACATAATACTTCACGTGAAATATTATCCTACACAATTATGAACACTACGAAAAAATTATGCTCTTAAGATAAAAGCAATTACCAATTATCTGACGTTCGAGAATACAAATGACATATTTTCATATTCGTTACCATTTCAAAATACACTGATCTGTTATATTTTTTAGAGAAATGAAAGAGAAAATTTGAACACCATTACTAGAATTTTGACGCCGTCATGGAATGAAACCCCACCTTATATTATTGTCACCGGAAAACATCATTTGTACACACCAAACATCATTTTGCTGTCAAAAAATTTGTGATTCAACGTTAGTAGCCATAAATATTATTTATTAATCCGACTTCATAGAATAATAATAAGAATTATTCAGCATCCATTTTTAGCAAACGGATAGTATCTTTCAAAAAAGGAAAAATAATTAAAGTGGTGCTCAATGATGATTTTATATATAGCTATTCAGTTGCCGACCATGTCCAACAAAACTCATTCAAGTAACTAAGTACTCTAACAAAAAATAATGAAGTGAGTGATAATAATTTAAAGATATCCACCAAATGAATATCTATCTGAGTTTAAATTTTGCCCATAATTTTCCACTGTCTGTAAATGACACAAACTAGCATCCCCAAATATTTAAAGGTATCACTGGAGTCATTGTTTAAGCTCTCAATTGATGAATAAAGTGCTGTTGTCCCTACATGTCAAAACAGTGATTATTAAACCCCAAGTAAATACAGTACCCAGCATTTCATCGCTTTCAAGAGTGCATATATAAACATAAATAAACAAATAATCAATTATCTACAAAAAAAACTGTTTACCGTTTTCCTAAGTAACCAGCCTGATCAGTGTAATCGTTTTTATTTCTATAGATATATGTTGTGGAAATGTTGCAAAATAAAATGCTTCGGTGTAATTGAGAGAAATTCCAGAAAATTCCATAATTCGATTAATGCATACTTACATAAATAACGGATGGAATGATAAACAGAACAGATGACAATATCTTATAACTGGAACTGGTCATTGTTTCACTGTTCTATTTTTCTTGTATTTCAAGTTGTGCCTCAAGGTAGCACAGTTATTTTACATTTTTTATGTTATTTATAGCTGTTGTAGTAGGAATTAAGGAATCAATAAACTTAGCACGTGAATATTTATCATGTGGTACTAGATTTTTTACACAAATGGTAGTTTTTGGGCTTTACCGAATTCTGATTCATCAATACAAATAATAAATCTAGGTTCTTTCCAGTGATTTGATGAACATACTGACTGACAGAGTAGTGAAACCACGGAAGCCACTATGAAGTATAGATGAAGTATAGAAATGTATTCTATTTATGCCCAGTTAGACAGAGATTATAAAAGATGTCTACAACTACAGTTAGGCTGTAACTATTTTGGCCACAAAATCTACAGTCTGTGAAGTAGCATGTACATTAAATTGCCTGGTTAAAATCCTGGCTAAACTTATTAATCCCAGTAAGTTATCCACAAATCATTGACCGTATATTCACCAACATGAAGCTGCAGTCTTACAGATAACTAGGACCTTTCTACTGCATTATAAGGTACTATCTTGAAACTGTTTTGATGTACAACCCACCATCAGCACGAGTTAATTATAACTAAATAAAGCCGCTTTAACTTCTCTGAGCTAAACGGCAGGAAGTGGAGTTTAAAAATCTAGAAATGTAGAGAAGCCCCAATTTTTTCATGACACCAGTGGTTTATAACAGACAATAGAATGAAATGTAATTCTAAGTATTCTAATTGCTTAGCAGAAAGACTAATCGAAAACAGTTAAACAAAATCTCATAGTATTTATTTAAACTTTACTGGTGGGAACAATAGATTAAATGTTTACCAAGTCACATGTATTCCTAAAATGATGAGAACATTTGGTATGTGTGAATCCAAGAGCATAAAATATGGAAAAGAATTGGTGCAAAATCATACCTTATAATCCTGACTGATTTACCGATAATAATACATTCATGTCTTAATGTTAGTAAACCCAAAATAGCCATTTCATTTCTTTGGTAGGATCACGTGTGAACATAATTTGTTCTCCACATGTGAATATAAATGTCAAATACTCAAAAATAAGCTGAAACAACTCGAACCCATAATTTCGAGTGACCAAATTTAGCATTACTCGTAGGAAGCTCTTCAAACAATAAACTAGTAATAACCAAAACGAAAATATTCTGGAATTCCAAATATAAATGTTGGTAAATTATTGAAGTGAACAGAAATAGGTGATAGCAATTTTCACTTGAAAACTGTTAATGTTCTAAAGCAAACGGTCATCATTTGAGACGATTGGTAGGTCATGGATTTCATTTATCTAACCATTCAGTAGTTCAGTACATAAAAGTGTTCCGAAAAACACTTACAACAAACGATAGCCTGAAATACTACTAATCAATATGAGTAATTTAATGTTTTGCTGAGTGATTATGATCCAGGTTAACTGTGTACAAACTTACTATAGTCTATTTTTAAGTAAGAATTTTACTGACGGTAATATACACTAATTCTTAGGTTTTTAAAAAAATAAAACTCATTATCTTAATTATACTCTTTGGGATTTCGTTAAGTTGGTAACCACCATTATCAATGTCCTTTCCTTACTTGTTTTAAATTCTGTCATATTTCCAGTAGACTAAACAAAAGCATCGTAGTGGTGGAAATAGTTTTAAATGTTGAATAAGTGCATGTTAATTAATAATGTTAGTATTACTATGCAACTATGACGCAATCACAGAAAAGTAATCGAACATAAATATTCTATGATAAAACTAGCTGCGTCTAGATGAAACTGATGACAAAAGGAGAATTGTGAACGTTAATGAATGTGGTGAAAACACATACTGTTATACAGTTACGGTACAAGTATAGGTTAGTGATATGCAATGAATAAAAACAAACTGTTTTTAAGCAAATGAATTTTCAGGTAAAACACATAAACTGAAAGCAATAAAAATGACAGTGCGCACCAAAAACAGTAATACTAATATGTATATATGTATAAGAATTGCTCACATGTATACATTAATGGAAGGTGAAATGTAAACAAACAAAAGATTTGAAGCATAATCTATTCATTTATAAATACATAATACCCACACGTAAGAGCACATATAAGCATTTGTATTATTAAAAGGATATGCAAAGCACTAGGCGCTGACATAGACAAATGAAGTTACACATTTATAGCGTTAAATTTTTTATCAGTCATACCACAATAGTTATCAATGCATTAGAAGAAACATAAGAAACAATAAACCCTGCTGTAACTATTCACACAAGCCAATTTACACGCACACACATTTAAACAGAGACAGACGCTGTTAGAAATGACAGTATGATGAAATCAAAACTAGTTGAGACCACTGCACAAACACACGAATACAAACATACATAGAAATGGACAATGAGTGTACTAGCAATGGAAATGATGTCTCAGTCTTATTCAAAACATAATATTGGCAAGATAGTATAAGTACTAAAAAATGAAGCACCAAAACTTGTTTTCTTTGTTTAATGCACATGGATAAACATGATCTCATTGTATGAGTATAACCACCGAACACACATACATACATACATACAAAAACAACTCAACTAATCAATTAACTAGCTAATGTTAGGATAGCAATATAATCAGGTTATTATGATTTTTAATAAGATTTAAACAATCATAGGCAGTTAGTTCAATTATTAATTATTGGTAAATGTTTATAAGTTGAGTAGAAGCATACCGACACAGATAAACACACAAAAGTAGAAAGATTACACAACAAACCATGTCATACCATTTAGAACAGCCAATTCCATTAACTGTAATTGTTTCAATCTGTCCTCATTTTCTGGCTATAATAATTATGAAAAATGAGAAAGCAAGTTAAATAATCCTACTACTTTTCAAATAATTTATTTATGTAATGGTCTTATAAACAGATATTTAATGAAGAAATTAAATAATAAATCCATTTTCCCACGTTTGTATTTTCATTACTATTCTTGATTATTCATCAGACAAACAGGAGTTAATACTAGTTAAATATTTATTCATAATTCAGCATTTATTTATCATCCCCTTTATTCTTTTGAAATCAAATCATTCACCATTAATTTCTACTTTCTCCTTACAATCATTATGTTAACAAAGATAAGTATAGTCACATACAATGAATATCTAGTGTTGGACAGACGGAAAGATAACAACATATCACTACTTATGTGAAGTGATTTCAGAAGACTTTTCTGGACTTTAGGAATAACTTGAAAGTTGTGATTGTAGAACATAACAAACAATTTCATATTCAGTAGTTACTCAAAGTGAGAAATAGTTTTTTATTTACTTTCCACTTCTCACAGCTAAATAAAAACCAACTGTAATAATTGATGACACACATATATTCATCAAATTTTACTTCATTCATGGGTCTGACAACAGCATTTTTGTAATATTATCATACTAAACAGCTTTATGTATGTGACGTTATACAGCATGGATTGAAACCCAATCATCGATAAAACCATTGATTGTAGTATAATAAAAAGCATAAAATATTTGGAAATTTCAAACAGATTTTCATCTTATCAAACTTCTGCATTATTCATTAATTCTATCATCAATGAATATTTCTTCCTGTGTGTTCTGTGAGTTCATCAGAAATATAACGACAGTAGTTTTTAAGTAGTGTGTCATAAACATATTTAGTGAATCGGGACAGAAATTGGTTCTATTATAGTTACGAACGATGAAGATTTACGAAAAAATAGCAATAACTGAACAATAAATGCTCTAATAATTAGATATCAGAACAATGTATATAGCCGAAGTTGGCATTCACTCCAATCGCATTACTGTGATACCTGACAACTTCAACAAGTTTAAACATATTAGTGACTAGAAAACATTAGTACACATCATAAACATTGTAAATCAAATGTTATCCGGTTGAAAGCCCTCTTTCTTGCAAGTTTGGTACGGCAAGCAACAGTAATTTTTTCCGTTTATTATGATTTCATGAGACATTCCCTAACCCTATAACTTAAATGAATAAGTTATCCTTTTTTCTTCTCATTGCTGAAAGTAAAGGCAAACAGCATATTATCTTTCAGGCATACACTTGAAATTGAAATTGTAGAGATGGTATATCTTTTTATTGAATGAGCCCCATAGTCCTTCAAATCCAATATGATTAGAATGTATTCCCACTATTTATCATGGTATCGTTACAATCACACACAAAATTTACCAATATAAGATAGACAGTGACTCATTTCTTATAATTTTTGTCGATCATTTGTACGACCATAAAATCAGAAGAGATCTGGCTATCTTCGTTTTTAAAAATGAGATGATCCCGAGCGTCGAATGTTTCTATCTCGAATGCCAGTCCGGTAAAGTGTACACTAACAGCGAAGTAAAAGGAATATATAGTAGCCGATCAGTTCAGAGTACCGTTAAGAATAAAGGCCGTATGTTAATAATTGTTTGTAAAACTGGGATTTATCTGAAGTATAATGACAGGTAAAATCATCGTCAAGACCTACAGATATTAGGAAAGAAAATGATAAGGCGAGAAAGATAGTAAGTAGTGGTGTAACTGATGAAATATTAGGAGAATCACCACCTTTATGAAATTTTCTAGTGTTTGATACGGAAACTTCAGTTATTAATCACTTGTATGAATAACTGACTCCTGCCATGTAAAAAGTAGATTTAAAAAGTTACCGTGAACTCGAACAAAACGTACTCTTAATTTAGCGGAAAGAAAATGATTGCTTTCAGTGTAAAAAACACTTTAAAGTCAACCAGAGTTATTTATGATTTTATCAGTTTATACTGACATCTACTGTCAGTTTTAATTTTAGTACAATAATTAATAGAAAGATTAAATTACCGTATAAATCTGAACACCATAAACCTAATTATGATATTGGAATACTTACTAAAGATCTTTTCACATTTAATTATCATTTCTACTAAAAACAATGGATAGAACGATAAAATGCTCCCCATCTTGAAACTATAACTTTCTTAATTGAGCATTTACGGGCTTGAATTTTATTGAGAACACTAGTCACCCAAACTCAGCCATTTAGTTAATCCTGAATAGAATTACTTGAACAATCGTTTTAATCACTGGATACCATTAAACAAATGATAACTTGGTAGCAATATCTATGTTGAAAACATTTATTGATAGTTTTTATTGCATCATATCACCACATTATTAGCAGAAATTCCTATCTAGCTATTTCACCCCTTATTCTGATATAATAATTCATTTAACTGATGACCAACTTGAATAACCATAAAATAAACATAAAATACTAGACACTTTTCATTATTTTAATCAGTTTTTTGATAATGATAGCAAATCCATGTTATCGAATTTCTCCTAAAGTATACTAAAAGTATCTTTGACAATCGATATTTACAACTTGGGAATTAATCTAGAATTGATAGAAACAGTCAAGTTTTTGTTAAAAAGTGTTTTTTTTAATAAAAGTGTAATTATAATATTAATGTATTGTTATTATCATTACGAGTCATGCAATTTTAATCTATTATAATAACATGAACTTGTGATTTAACGATTAGTGCCATGATTTTAAATTATTCATTGCAAGTGTATAATTCTTCTTTGTAGCATTGAGAGTTTATTGAAATTACTAAAATACCCAATTTAGAAAACCACTGAAAATCTCGAAGCTCTGAATATTAGTGTCGTCCAGGTAAAGGACTCCTCAGCAGACAGTGCAAGATGGTTGTGCCGTACCGAAGGTTGATTTGAGTTAGACATGCAAATCACAGTATGCTGGCTTGGTGATCTAGATGTTAAGTTCCTGGATTCTAGCTCAAGTGACAATATAAATGAGCGTTGCTGAAAAATCCCACAATAAGATGAAACAGCTTTCCAGTGCTTTCAGATATTCATTGTGTTTTTTAAGTTCGGTACGGTTGTAATTTCAGTAACATCCACCAGTTTCTAGAAACTAGGAATGTTGAACAATAATTTAACTAACAATTAGTTAGGTAAGTAGATATCCTTTGGAAAAGTGAGGTTATTTTTCAGTGTTGATTAATCAGTACACCGTAGTGAGTCACATACTAATCTAAACATGATATTATATGTATCTTTTTATTCAGTTACAGAATAAACGTCTTTTACTTCTAGCTTTGCTTTAAGTAATTCATTTATTCTTTGAGAAGTTTTGGAGCTCATTCTGCATAGGTATTTACAGTCACATTTATGTTATTAGTTTATTGAAGAGGAAACTCATTCTTTTGTGAATTATGAATATGAAAAAGGCCTACAGAAACTTACTACTTTTGTCAATAAAACATTGTGTCATTCATTTATCACATGACAAACGACGTCGTACTATATATATTGTACATCATAATCTGTGACATATATATGTATATATAATGACACAGTAAAGTCTACTGTCAGCAAATCACACTATACTTAACATACGTGCAACATTTCATTTTCGTTTATGAATTGTTTCTCAAGGTAATATATCTCATTTAAAAGGTATGGAGACACTATGTTTTTTAAATGTGTATCAAACATACGACAGTTTGATATGAAAATGCCCTTTACGCACATAATGACTGGTATTCGATACAATGTAAAGATAGTATGAGTTAACCCAATAGATAAATAAAACATTTAGTCTAAATCTTACTATAAATAATATCTCCACACAATTATTAAGATGTACAAATGATAGGGCAAAGTTACTTATCTTATTATTAGTTTTAGAGTACACCGAGACAACAAAGTAATTTGAAACTGTGTTGATCGGTTTGGAATAGATTTCGTAACACTCAAGTTTGAGTAAAGTTTCCAATTATTTTTTATAAGGTTTAAAGTGATCAGTGGTTAAGTATCATTGATAAGATAACGCTTTTTCAAAACTTTACGAAAATTAGAAAATAAGTGGACAGTATAATGTGAATATCTTTTGCATCCATACATTTATGTAAAACCAACTGGTTATAAAAACAAAGAAAAGTTAATTCCAACCAAACCATAAATTGATTGCACTAACTGGCACAACTTCATTCTGAATAATGCTTAATTACTTATACAATCGAACATTTAAAAATTCTTAATTCTCAAACTGATTGGACAGAATGTATAGACATAGAAATGATAAGACTTCTCAAATTGTTATACAGCATTAAGATCACTATAGTATTCAAATACATCTGATGTGAGCAGAATAATTAGAGAAAAGAGGATACTTACCATATGGAAAAACTCTAAGTTTCGAATTCCTCTTCATGTCACTTGCTTAATTTTGATGTTTACTAAGCTAATTAACATGCCAGTAAGATATACCACATCTGTTATGAAATAAAGACAAACAATAGAAGGCATAATATCTAAACTCAGGAAGACAGAAAATGTCTGGTTGTAAGGTTAGAGGAGCGCATCATCTATGAGCCCGAAAAAGACGAAACACAAGTTATTTTAAAACATCCTCAGTAATCCTCCTGACCAATTCAATCATTGCCTTGGTCAAATTCTCAGTTCTATTAATCTTTACTATCTGTAACCATATTATTAATGAATGTGCTTATAAAAACGAAAAGAGTTTAACTCAGATCATTTTACGAAATATTTAAGGTAAGACTAGACAATCAATCACTCATATACTATCATCTTAATTCCTAACATATTAAAGTTAGTATCTACTAGATCAAATATAGAGGAAAGGGATGACACTGAAGAACTTAGTACCTTTTTTAAAAAGTGAAAAGAAAATACCTAATACAAAAGTACTTTACGAAAATCTTATAGTCACTAAAGTAAAACAGATAAATTGTGGAAAAATTGTAG